GGGGGTCGGTGCGTTCGTAAGAACCCCCCTTTTTGCCGGGAAAAGGTCTCCTCTGGGTAAACTTTTGTTTAGGTACACTAATGTTTCATGGTAAAAGGTCCACTTTTCGAGAAAAAGAACCCTGCCTCACTTTGAAATTGCTGGCTACGGGCCTGAGAAGTGTTTCATGACATGAATGGCCAGCACAAACTGTCAATAATCAGCTGAGCTACTGACCTTGAGTCGTGAACTGAATAGACGATTGCATTTCGAGAATGATGAGCAGAGTCGCTAAACAAGCGGGACCAGAAACTTAGCATGTAACTAAAACTGTGCCTCGGTCTTTAACACCCAGGCCCTGGGAAATCGAAATCATCCGAATAAATTTAAGCAATTCAAGGACTATAATTTTAGGGACCATTCCCACAGATATTTGGATCGATCTATCTCCCTGGGGAGTCTCACTAAATTGCTGTCAACTTGACCGGTTTAAATGTTCGTCACGCCCAATAAAGCTGTTAGGGGCTAATTATCTTTGCCCCTAGATGATTCGGTAGGCGTGACAGACATTTAAGCCGGTTAGTTGACAGCAATTTAGTTAGACTCCCCAGGGAGTTAGATCGATCCAGATGCATCGATCTAAGCATGGGAACCCATNCTTGGTCTAAGTAAGGATAAATCTTTATGACGGAAAACAAGTGAAAAAGCTTAGCTTGTACTGTGCACACGAAACACGCCTCTCTCAAGCGTGTATTAAAAGAGAATTGCTCAAACTTTTTAAGTGCTTGCAACTTCTATACGTCATTGTTCACTTGAAGCCAAGCTTGAAAGGATTAATTCGTTATAAGTGTGTTTGAATGATTAGCTGCGTCGTATCTTTTAACGCATATTACCAGAATTTTGTATCTCTGATGTGAATATCGATTTGAATTAAATCTGTTGGTCAAATGATACAGGGGTATATGTGCTTTCCATTCCAATTCCGAACAGAGTTTGTTGACTGAACGTCCTAAATATCAAATAATGAACTTCAAGTATCATCAAAAATTCATCAGCAAGAGTTGATTTTGTGGAGTAGATATCCACCCACCAATCGCATGTGACATAGGAGGCGCCATGAAAACCGGGTATTTTCTGGAGGTTGTTTTAGTTCTCTCTTCACAACGATTCCCATAACAATCGATAAAATTCACTTTTAAAGAGCCAGCGGCTACAAATTTATATATAGCGAGATTTAGGATATCCCAAAATAATGCGCAGGCGCGAGATAGAAGGTGTAAGTGGAAACTCGCACAGGTAATGGAGGTCGCACGCTGGACCGGGTGTGAGCTAGTTTTTAAATAAGTAAAACTGAAAAGCAATATAAAGATGTTTATCTACTGGTAAAAGAAATTATGGAGAACTTGTCGCAAGTTGAGATATACTTCTAACGGTTTGAGATATGCGTAGCTTCACTACAGCGCTAGTAAAATAATTACAATAATTTTTCCGGACGGAGAAGCTTTGAAAGAATGGAAATCGAACAGTTTAGTGCCATTCACGACAAGAGACTGGTGAAAGAAGAGGACACAGAAAATAAGAAAAAGGTGAGGGGATCTTGTTGTTGAAATCAGTAGGATATATACCTAAATAAAATGTCTGTACCGTTGTATATAGCCAATGCTAAAGAGTAAATTATGGTGATTATCGAAATCACGAAAACGGAATGAAAATAACAAATGCCGTGTCCGACTAAACTCTGCCAGTTGTACCTGAAGTATCGTGTTTAATTGGAACAATGATATCCATACGTGCACGTGGACAATAGTTAATGGAAAGTGGTTCTGAACTGAAGGGATAACAACACAATTAACGATCTGTAAAGAAGCTCATCATTTGTGTTATGTTATGTTATGTGTGTTTTACACCGAGATAAACTCCAGTGTGAGCGTACACGCCGTGTACGAAGGGGGGAGGGGGGGGGGGTTCGGGAGGAGGACAGGATCCCAGCCTCTAGATTAAGACTAGCTGCACACAGTCTGGCCATCGAGACAGGCAGATTGGCGAAAAAGCCACGAGAACATAGACTCTGCGAGTGCAGCAACATACAAACGGAGAAACACGTAATATCTGACTGTACTTATACGGCCGCAATAAATCCCCCACTATAGACTTTACAAACTTAGAAAGGGTTTTCAACGGCCCTGTTAATGACGTAGGCAGATGTATAAGAATTTGTTTAACCAAATATTAAAGAAAAAAGAATGGTCAAACCCCTATATAATAATGCTTTGCCCGTGTGTAATGTAATACTTTTGATTATATGTGGGAATAAAATTAACTAACTGAGGTGGCCAAGCTAGATTTCTCTAGGATTACCCCTGATTTCGCCTTATCAGTCTTCCCCCAGCACTCCCTTATTGTGATATTTAGATATCTATGTCCTTGCTTTTAGTGATTTTTAGAATTTCTCAGCATCTGCAAATACTACTTGACAATCATTACACGAATGTTATTTTTTTCAAATCGCCCAAGTCAACAACCTTTCTGATAGTCTCTTGCGCTCAGTGCGGTTAACCTAATAAGTACGCGTTCTTGTCGAGTTTAAGATAATATATTCACAACACTGTCAGATCCCCCTGAACATGTTTATTCAGATAATAGTAGGAAATCTCTGTTGAGGTGAGTTACTCCGACATGATAATTTCGAGTAGCCTTTCACACATTAAAAGGAATCAATAGTTAGCTTTATTAACGCTGTCCATTAAACTTGGTATTGAGCCACCTTGCTGTGGTATCAGATATCAGAAAAAAGGTTAGAACAAGTTGGAATATTAAGCATGTTTATGGAAATGCATTTTGTTATTGATCAGGAAGGGGTTGCGATATTGAAAGTGCTTTAATTTGTATATGCAATGTTTGTGTGCGTTTGAGAGATATTAATTGAGCCCTTGTAACGCAAACTTATTCAGGCGATAATTAACTGCGGTATTTTGCGTGGCAAGTGACTTTTACGCTCCGATTTAATTAGAAAAATAACATTGACATTTCGGAATTGGACACATGACAAAACAATATTGGAGCATAAACCTCTTGGGACGTACATGTACGAGTAGGTTAAATCAATTAAGCAAATTGTGTCATAAACATTGTGTTGTAAAGCAAATGACTTACACTTTCAGTAATTACAGATCATAATTAAAACGGAATCAAGCAAGTAAAAGGATAGGGAGCTACTGAGTGTAAGTTAAATTTCTTTATGGGTAAACGAGTGTAGAAATTGTTCTCGTAGTTAGAAAAAAGGGAACATGTAATCACATCTAATCTAAGGATGTATATGGGGCAAGAGAGGGTAATTCAAATAATATTTTAAATATTTTAAATTGAAAAGAAGTCCCTTAGAAATTACCTAATAAGGAAATGTGGAATGGTGGTTTGCAACATGATAATGGAAAATTCCTTGTAATAATGCAAAGACAATAGAAACAAAACAAGTAAATGCATGATCAGTACGGAAAAATAGATTATAAATACTTGTGAAATTGTATGAAAAAGGCAGTCGGTGAATAAATGTAAGAAAGCTCCAGATCGCAGTCGTTATTCTTCACTATAACAATTGTTACTACAAAATATTACAACGACATATGCAGGTGCTGAATGTGACAATTCTTGCCTTTTTACCTCATTTACAGTCAGATATTGGCGAGTCTCATGATGATTGCATGTTCACACACACACACACACACACACACACCAAATTATCTTTGTTAATCCATTAAACCATCCTCTATTTTGACCGTCTTCCGGCAGAAAAATTAGGCAGCATTCACATCGAGAAGAGCCGAGGTAGATAGATACCCGTCAATGTCAACGTGAAAATCTGACCATACCCTTGTATTTAGTTAATTATTCCACTTGTTTCAAAGACAAAAGCAGTAAATAAACTCTTCGTGCATGACAAAAAAGGTCAGAGGACAAAAGAGGACAGTACGTAAAGTTTGGTTATATTAAACGCATTTAAGCACTCATTCAACATTGAATACATAACAAGCGTAAGGCCCTAACCTAAAAGCCCGCGCTGGCAATGACTTCAGTTTGCAAAATTTTTCAAAAAGAAAATTTGGTCTGCAACCTAAAGAGCTGTTCGCTTTCGCCTTAGGTACTCTTTCAACTAACACGTTACCGAACTAAGTTTTGTCTCTAAGTTTTTGAAAAGTGTAAATGTGAAATAAGGTCGAAATCGAATCTGTAGTAAAACCGTGCACAACAAAATTCCGTTACGTTAAATGGACAAGTGGGTCGCTGAATACACACCGTAAAGCTGTGTCCACGGTCTATGACAGACAGACAGCTGAGGAAACGCTATTAAAACACATTAGTGTGAACAGCTGATTATTGCTCTCCAGCGTGGATATGAGTCAGTGTTGTTGTTTGTGTGTCCTTCTAAAGCACACACACAGACGCAAAGAGAGAGAGAGAGAGAGAGACTTGAGGCTTGTCAAATGTTAATTCGCAAGCAATAAAAGATAAAACACAAATATAGAAAATATCTATTTTGGAGCAAATCGATAATTCCATGAAAAAAAAAAATCGCATAACTCAATTCTTAATTGACAATACAACCAAAAGTAAATATACATATTAACCCAGGCAGTTTGTGTCACATGACTTTGATCACGTGACGGTTGTCTCAGGTCACAAAACATGCGTGCAGTTGAGTTTCTCACAATTTGAGAAGCCGATATCAGCGTTTAATGCCCACGAACTGTTTTTTTAAACTAAAATCTGTATTATTGATAGTGGAAAAAGACAATGATTAAGATGAAGCTACACAGAGACTATTTGAATTCTTCTTACTGTAGAAGAAAATATGACTGAAGCGTGCGAAAAAATGGTACTTCAAACAATAATAGTGGAACCCATGGACAAATGTAAAGGACTTGAAAAAGATAAAGTTAGTCAGGTAGGCCAAACTTTAATTGAATAGAGTTGTGAGGAGAATTACGGAAATTTGACATAAAGAACAATTCTGTCTTAATTGATTTTCTATATCCTATATTAAAAAAGACATGTAGGTTTATTTAAGAAATTACTCCTTCTTCTTCCGCATCTTCCTCTCTCTGGACTTTTCGACATAAACTTTTCTTTGGTAGGCTGCAATTATCATACAATATTTTATTTTCATCCCACGGTATATACTCAACATTCTTGTCACTATAGTGTAGGTGTTCATAATTGACGGCTATTTCCCTTCACAGCTGGGAGAGCTACACGTAACCAGATAGAGTACCTTAGTGTTAATATCCACAATATTGATCGCTTCACTGTGGGTAATTAGACTCATGGTTAATTTATTCTTTTCGGCTGTTCTTGTTATGAGTTACTGTTGTAGTTATGAATGCAATATCTTGAAGGAGAAGCGAGGTGTGGGGTCGTGCCTTCTCTTCCAGAGGTCATCAGCGAGATTTTTTTTTAAAACTGAAAATGTCATGCAGGACACGAAAATGGGAATATTTCTCGATCGATCTACGCTTTGCTTTTTAAGCTGTTTTTTTTTTTTT